AATCCTCTTGCGTAACGAATTGTCTCGTAAATAGATTTCGGGGTGGCTCTTGTAGTATTGATATTAGATAAATGTTGGGTGATAAGCATTTTTCTTAGCATAGAGTTAATAGTGTTGCATGTTGCTTGGTCGGTTATAGTGATGTTGTTTTCCTCTTTGTAGGTTGAAAGAGCTTTGTTGAATAGTGTGTTGAATTCTTTTTGATGTGCAGATGTAGTTTTAGGGTTTCGAGTAAAAGTAGTAAAAAACCAGGTATCACAATGAATAAATTTAAGCTGAATAGCACTAGATAAGATGTATTGGGTTTGGTTAGTGATTATTTAGTTTATATTTATTATCTTGTATTTTATATTAGTTATTATTTATTATTTGTTATATTTGTATTGTGTATATTAATATTAGCATGAGTATTTAACAGAGAGTTAAAGCCACTATGGCACATAATGTGGTTAAAGTTGTACACTACCCTCTACTCTCTCAACTATACCTTCAAGTCCCTCAACATAGCTTTCATCTCCCTCAACTTTCTTTACTCCCTCAACACAGCCTTCAACTCCCTCAATATGACTTCCTACTCCCTTAAGCATATCCCTCAACTCCCTCAAGTACAATGTTATATTACCCTCAATTCCCTCTTCTATTTTGTAAAAAGTATATAAAGAGAGCATAAATCCCTTCTTGTAAAAACAGATCATATAAAGATATCTACAGATCTGATACCAATATTATAGCTCTTAGATAGATCTCAAATATCTCTCTCTTATAGAATTAGTCTTGTAATTCTCTCTTGTAATATATAACTCTCTTTAGAATCTCTAAAGGAGGTTATCCTCTGTTCTATAATAAATAAAGGTTAAAAATATACTATCCTAATACCGAACTGCTTACCTTCTGCTATGGATACTTAATTGTACTCCACATCCATCCTGTGTATATTCCAGTAGCAGAATCCCTGTACTGGGTAATATTGTTACTGTGCTATGTGGTTACAAAGAAAGCCATAGTATTGTAACATTATAAAAAATCTATTTGATTAACTATTATATATTCATATGATACTTTATAAAAGTTATTCGCTTTTCTATATATAGTATTAACATTAATAAAATATATATATATATATATATATATATAAATTTAAATAGATAAAATAAATTGCAAATATAACAGCTAATATAAAACTTTAAAGCAAATCCACTTAAATAAACAATCCAAAATTGCATATAATATTATATTTATAAAGTAATTTAAAATTTCCGACAAAAAGAAAAGCTTTTTTTCCTACTGAAAAGTTATAAACTTGTAGTAAGGTGAACCAATAGGGTGGTTTTTATAAAGGTTAACTTTTATGGAAACTCTTTTATATATTCAGCAAGCAAGCCAAAAGCATCAGTATATAAGATAACTAGCAGAAGTGATGCTCTCATATACAAAATTTTGGTAAAAGGTGGAGGTAATAGAAGTTTAAGCCTCCTGTCAATGAAGCTAACAGTTGTAATTAAATACTAAAAATAGTAGAATACAGGCTTTTTCTAAAGCTGTACTTTTTTCTTAACCAGGTGGTTTCTACTATACTTTTTTTCATCTTCCTGTTTTTCTTTTAAAAAATTTTTAAAAAAGTAGAGATTTGGCTTACCCTCTCCAAAATATCAGCATTATTTACTTTCCAAATTCAGATAGGTGACTCTTTCTATTCTTAAACAGCATAACATGTATTGTTTTGGCAATAATGTTCCTATATCACATGACAAATTAATCAGTGCTTTGATTAACAAACTGATCTGAACCGGACATTAAAATCAGAAGAAATTTTAATGATAAGGCTTTACTTTACAACAAAAATATGCAAGATTTTTAAATTGAGAAACAAGGGTTTGGTAAATTTAAAATAGTATATAATTTTTAAAATTTGTGCCTGGCACAGGCTATAATAGTGTTGTTATAAATTGTTTTCTTTTTTGCCTTTTTCTTCTTTTTTTATTTATTTTTTTTATTCATTTTCTTGTTGCTTTAATATTTTTTTCTTTCCTTTTTTTTGTCTTGTTTTCTTTATTTTTTTTACTATAAATCCTTCTGCTTGGGAAACTAGGAGAAGAATATTAGAAAAGAAGGTGATCTTGATAGGCCGTAAATACTATTTAGTGATGTATTGAAAAATTCATTTGCAGGATTTTTTAATATGAAGAAAAATTTTATTATAGCAGATCGAACATGGGTAATTTGGACATTTTAGGGTCACAAAGAGCCAGGTTAGCTAATACTTGTAACTTAGGTGGGCTTTAGGTAACTTGAGTCAAAATTATATTTCTCCATAAATGAAATATTTAAACCTAATAAAGTATTGGCAAGATTGCCAAATTTCTTAAAAAATTTATAAAGTAAAATAATACAAATTTTTTTTAAAAAAACTACTTATTACTCTTTTATATACTTTTATATCAAATAAAAATTATTATATTTTTTATATATATACTACAACCATTATAAATCCAAATTAATCTTAAATGGCTTCGTAGAGTTTAGCACACCAGTATAAATAAACCAGTTCTAAGCTGTATTATACATGATTAAATATATATTTAGTAGCAATACCCATACTATTATAATTAAAAAGTACTACAGCAATCCATAGTTACCAATGTTTTAGTCTTTAAATATGCACTATAATAAATCATATACTGTAATTAAAGTTTTAACCAAAGCCATGAAATAAGTTGGTATGCAAGTTTTATAAAAAATATGAATGATTAATCCAGCAAATTTAGCTCAAGTCTTAGGCACTTGAAGGCAACATTGCTTTATTTCGTTACTAACAAGGCAGGAGTCACATTTCGGTCACTCGTGTATGTACAAATATGTACAATGGTCTGCTACAATATTTCAACTTTAGACTAGTTCAAAGTTTGACTCAAAAGAATCGACTCATACTAGTAGAAACAGTAAAGCAGAAATTTATATAAGTGTATTATCTTTAGTGATAAGCTTTACAATTAAATTAGAAATATACGTTATTAGGATTAGAATGTACATTTTTTTAAGTGTTCAGTCAAGAGTGTCCAGCAACTCAATATTATAATTTTTTTGCCCAAAATCTATGAACAGTATCGAAAACATTTTTTTTTAATTCAATCTCATTCATAGCAGAATCAATCATGGTATCATATCTTACATCACTCATACCAAATGAATCAACAGCACTTTTCAAATTTTTCGCTCCCCATCTGGCATTTTCCAAAAAGACTTCGCCCAATTTTCCACCCCAACTGCCCATGGGAACCATTTTCTTCTCTTGATGAAAATCTGTTAATTGATTGTTTTCTCGTAAAGTTCTTCTGGCAAGAGGACTCGACATTAGACAGACATTGTATTTCCTGATTAGTGTTCTGATAGCTATTTTTAAAAATTAAATATTTTTAGAACATTGATTTATATATAATTATTACCGTAAATCTCGAAATAACGGTACTCCAACATCGCATTATTTTGAATATACAGTCAAACCCCCCTAAATGCAATATTTCTCTAAATGCAATTTTTCTTATTGTTCTCTAAATGCATGCTATTAAAAGTTTGGTCCCAGTGAGCTGCACTTAGGGAGATCTGACTGTGGATTAATTTTTTGAACTGTGTATTAATTAAACTATACACGTAATATGATATTACTGTATTAATGTTTAAGGGGTGCGCGTTGTTTCGGGACACGCATGGACGTTATTTCGAAATCGCCTTTGCTATTTTTTGGGGGCGCGATTTTCAAAATAACGCCCATGCCCGCTATTTCGAGAATTTACGGTACAATATATATATTGAGAAATACAAAGAATTTTTACCTTGTGATCTTAACTTTCCTGCTCTTGGACCTTCGTTCACCCAAATATTATCAATTTCACAAATTTCGATGTATCCACCTGATTTCAATACGCGAACGAGTTCTTTAATTGCATATTCCCAAGCAGAACGAGTAAGTGAAGATCCCATAAATCTCATATGAATATAATCAAATACATTGTCATCGTAAGGAAGGCGTTGAAGAATATCACATTGAGAGAATGTAACGTTACTAGGTTTAATACATTGAGGAAAAAGTGGTAGAATATCGATGCCATAAAATTCTGATTTTGGATAATTTAAAGAAGTATCAAGAACCCATGTTCCAGCACCACATCTAAAAAAAAAGAAAGAAAATATGAGTATATATATACGTTATTAATGTGCTTAAAATCTATATGCGGAATCTGCGTTTACATACCCAACATCAAGAACCTTTGCTCGTTTATTTGTTAATAGATCTTCAATTGGGGAAGAAAAATTACTTTTCCACAAATCTCTTATAGAAAAATGAGCCATATGTAATCTATCACATTCATCGTTTCTTTGCGCTTCATTTTTTCCATACATTTTCGTATCTCCAACATATGTGATAGTAGTATTTGAAGAACCAGGTGAACTTATTGAACATTTTTGTTTATAACGATCTCGTGGCATGGTCTGAATTTGTGTAGGTTTTTGATAATAACGATCTCGTGGCATGACCTGAACCTGAACAGACTTAGAATGAATTCTACCCATTTTTTTTTAAAAAAAAATAACTCCTTTGCTATTTAAAAGATGTGACGCGTCTTGAGCAACGAGCAAAGTGCAAAGGATCCAAAAAAAAAAAAAAAAAAAGAAGTTCTCTATTCCAAGGGTACTTTGTATTCGGAATTTAGTTCTTAAATTTTTTTTTTCTTTTTTTCCTTCCGTATTTATTGGTATCCAAACTGTTATTATATAGATAAAGTTTAAAGTGATCGCTGATACAATGTTTTTTATGCAGAACAGATAAAAAGAATTAAAACTTTATTTATGAACTAAGATCCTAACATTTGAAGATATATAGTATTAGCTTTCTTTATGCTAGTATCGCCTTTCAAGTATGACATAGCAATAAATTCTATGGCTAAATAAAATCGGTACTTGCTATACGCACAAATATACATATATAGTTATAAAATAAAATATCAACCGACTAAAAAAGTAGTTCCATCTTCCAATTCTACATAATCACCTTGCTTTTTCCCATGAAACGTATTCACATCCTTATCTACTTCTTTCTCAACAAATGTATCAATTGCCTTATTTAATTCCGAGTTCTGATCTGATAAAAGATTTTCTGTAATACTTCCAAGATTTTTCTGGTTTAATGGTGTTATATTATCGGGTGAAAGTTCAGGCAGGCTACTATCTGGAGCGTTACATATTTTATATTGCTCATTTCCTTTTTCTTTCCATGACCTATAGCGGTAATGAAAAAGAGAGATTATTTCCATATGAGGTTGTCGGTGATACTTTGATTTTAGTGTCTATGTTCGGTTAATCCAGGGTCTTAAAACTTCGTTTTTGATATGCCTTTTTTTGAGTTATTCTTAGTTTTGCACCTTACCAATTATTATCCAGATCTTCTGTTGGTCTATCATTTTCAAGGTTATATCGCTCATAATTCATTTTTTTAATGTTTTTTTGTTAAATATTCTTGCTTAATTTTGTTATTTTCTTCTAAAATTGATTCATTTAGGTCCGAACACGTATTTTTTTTTTGCGTTTTGCGATGAATCCATTATTAATACAAAGAATTAACAAAGAATTGTGGGGAAAATACTTTATTCCTTACGTTTTACGAAGATCATGTGGGGTTTTATTAAAAACATGCTTACTTATAACGTTATTTGGTAGTTCAATTAAAAAAACCATATGATAGAGTCAGCCGTGTCGGTCCTTTCCCCAGATCATCGTTTAGATCATTAATTAGATCATTTATCCCCTAACGCTAATACATAATAAATTTTATACTTTCCTAAATGGTAAAGTTGCCGCCATTTCTACGTATCGTCGGGAGAGCAACGTAATATGTACGTACTCGTATATATTGGGTTTAGCCTCGCAAAACGTGGGGCAAAGATAAGGTAAAATAAGAATATGTGCACATGGATTATATTTATTTAAATAAATAATCAATTATAAACCAATGTCCCATTTTCCTCGACGTCACTCATATACATGTAACTGTTATATATGCAACACAAATATATAGTCAATTCTCTAAAATGAACGTCTTTATACAGTATACCGCCCCCCCTGTGGGCTGTACCCTGCGGTGATTTTGGATGTCAAGAGGGTATCATACTTATATACCCGGGTATGTAATAGTAAAGCATATTAAAAACGTAGAAGTATTCATACCCGGGTCATAGCTTACCGAAATGTCTACTATCATATGGTAAATCGTTTACACTTTTTTCTTAATAACAAAACTTTTAATAACTCTTGGATCGATATAAAATAAAATTAATAAATTAATAAATTATACATGTTGAAGTCTTCATACATAGCTTACTATTTAAAGTAATAACACTATTTTTTTTATTAAATCAAATTAAGGATTGGAACCGTTTAACCGCATAAAAATTGTTCCATAGTTTCGAATCAAAATTAGCTGAATTAAGTGATTGGCACGGTTAAATGATTAAACGATTGATTGGAAAATTTTTTAGACGGTTCCATGTGTTGTGTAACCTGACCTTTTTTGGACGTTCAACAAGTAACAAGCAAGTTTAGGATAAATTTTATCTTTGTCTCAAAATAAAGCTCATGAGTGTGCTCTAAATAACACGCATATACGTACGTACTCAAAATAACGCGTAGGTGTGCGTTATTTCGCGACGGGATGTTATTTTTAACCACAAATTTTGACGTCAACTTGTACGTAATGTTTTTTATTTCACCACATTTTTCAAACCGCAGTAATCCTCTACGTGACTGCGCCACCAGCCAATTAATTGAGGTCAGAAAATTAGTGATTGGAATCGGTTTAGTCGACTAATTAGTCGACTAAACCGATTCCAATCCTTAGATATGAGACAGAGTGTCCAGCTATTCTAACATCTAAAATAGCACTAGTGATATTACTAATCAAATTCAACCGGAATTGTTTGATTCTAGAATAAAAATAAGACAGAATTTAGTTTGGTTGTTTTCATTATACATGAAACACCTTAAAACCCCCTACCATGACCACGCTATTAAAATTTGATAATCAGCCATATCTCGTAACCCGACATTTTTTATTACATTATAAATCGAATTTGTAAAACTTAATCAAAATATAAAATTTTTATTGCATAAAAAAAAGCTATGTTCATTCGAAATTATTTAGTGACCTTTGTTCTAACTTTACATACCATATAGTGTTCCGAATAATCCGGATCCGACGGATTCGGATTATCATCCAATCTGAACCGTAAAATCGATTTCCGGATTAGGGCTAATTTGATATTTGGGTCCAATTTTTTTCACATTGCACTAATATGTAAATCCCAAGTCGACCATGTTAAAATATTTAGCCATGAAATACTTCGGATTGGTTCCGAGTTTTTTAATCCGAATCGGAACACTAATATTATAACACGAAATATTTATGAATTTCGAATTTATTACCAATAAAAAGTATTTTTATTTGTTTATGCCAGATTTTTGAAAAGTTTTTTGTCTGATTCAGATTTGCTGTGTTGTCTGCCATCTTTTACTGCATAAGATTATAAACTTTTCAAGAAGGTATACTAAAGTAGCATCGATATTAGATACTTTTATTATTACAATCGACTCTCCATATATCACTTCCCATATAATCACATCATATGTAATCACATTTTTATTTAGGCCAAACTATGATTTAATTTATAAGAAAAAAACCTCCAT